AAGGCAGGACTAGAACTCACAGTCTCCTGGTGATTGGCCTAAAGTCAAAGTTCAGCCGTTCGATCCTGGCGTTGTGTCACCTGCAAACCTCTCCCAAACTTAGATCAAGTGTTTATTAGCCCATTGCAAAAATGCAGCCGCTCATTTTGAACAGACCCAACTGAGACCATCCCATCTATCAACCTCCCCAAATTCACAACTGGCTGTTTATCTTTGGGGCCTCGAAGAAATGCAGGCTATGGCTGACGAGTCTTCCCTTCGTTCTAAAACGGGAAGCCGAAGAACATCCAGAAAACTTTATGACGGATGTGGCCCGAAGCAGGGGTATCCTTCTGTCCCCCCCCCCACTCCAAAGTCGAAGCCCCCCCTCCCCCCGTTAAAAACAAACAAGGCACCGTTCCCATTTGCTTCCGTTGAACATGAATGGAAGTAAATTAAAACAGCCCGAGCCATGTGGATGCCGGAGGGATCTATTTCTCTCCGGGAGGCAAATGACAGAATTTCATTTGCTCGGCTAAGAAGTGACAGCTTGAGGGGTGTGAAGTAAGGAGGGAGGGAGTTTGGTGGGGGGGAGAGGAAAGGCATACTCTTAGTAGTGGGGGTTTAGGAACTGCCAGATGCCTGGATTTCTCACTCACCCGGTTCCTGAATCGCTTTGCTAAATATTCACGAAACATACAGCAGCAACTTCCCGCTACTGCCATGCTGACAATGACTTCTGTGTGTTTGCTTTCCAAACAGGCGCCTTCCATTTATCTTTTCTTTTTTCCAAAAAAACAAAAAAATGCTTTGACACATTTCTTGTGGAGTTATGGGGTTCTCGCACCTTCCTCAGTCGAGAAGACTTCAAAGCGTGAAGACTTCTCCAGAGCTAGTTTGGTGCAGTGGTTTAGGGGGCTAGCCTAGGAACCGGGAGACGATGAGTTCTAGTCTTGCCTTAGGCATGAAAGCCAGCTGGGTGACTTTGGGACAATCACCAGGAGATGGTAAATTCCAGTCCTGCCTTAACTATGAAAGCCGGCTGAGTGACTTTAAGCCAATCACCAGGTGCCAGGGAGTTCTAGTCCTGCATGAGGCATGAAAGCCAGCTGGGTGACTTTGGGCCAATCACTAGGTGACGGGGAGTTCTAGTCCAGCCTTAACCATGAAAAATAGCCTAGGAACTGGGTGATGGTAAATTTCTAGTCCTGCCTTAAGTATGAAAGCCGGCTGAGTGACTTTAAGCCAATCACCAGGTGCCGAGGAGTTCTAGTACTGCCTTAGGCATAAAAGCCAGCTGGGTGATCGTGGACCAGTCTCTCTCAGCCCAACTCACCTCACAGGGCTGTTGCTGTGGGGAAAATAGGAGGAGGAAGGAATATTCAGTAGGTTTTCTACCTTGAGTTATTTATAAGCAATAATAAAGGTGGAATAAACATCAAATTCATTCATTCATTCATCGGCATCACAGCTGCCGACGGTCGCTGTCTGAGACAGTCACTAAGGAAGGACTTCTGTCTAGCTATATAGGCCAGGAAACCGCCTCCTGGGGGCGTGAGCAATGTTTCACCTGCCCTGGATTTCAGGAGTATTTTTGGCTCGTGCCGAGCCAACAGTGAATTGCATTTGAAGCCAGAAGACCTTTTTCAGGGAATGAAGTGTTTGGCGCTCCACAGCGCACTAAGACAACAACGCAGTTAACAAAGGCAGGCTTGTAAATCGAGTAACAAGGACGGAATATTTTCTCCAGTAAAGAAGCAACCAAGCAAAAAAAAAAAAAACCTGAGTGGATCCACGTGAAGCAGAGACACGCTGAATGCGGAAAGGCAGAGGCAGGAACTGTGCCTAAAACAATGGCATTTTTGCACACAGGAGGGTCTGGTTTCCGGTGGGTGAGTCCAGATCCAGGGCCCCTTTTTCCATCTGATAAAGAGGCAGTTTTACCGGTAGTCCTTGACTTACGATCATTTGTTTTAGTGACCAGAGTCACAACAGCATTGAAAAAGTGACTTATGGCCATTTTTCACATTTACGATCGAGTGGTTTAGGTGCTGGCCTAGGAACCAGGAGATGGGAGAGTTCTACTACTGCCTTGGCCATGAAAGTCGGCTGGGTGATTAAAGGCCAATCGCCAGGAGACTGGGAATTCTAGTTCCACCTTAGCCATGAAAGCTGGCTGGGTGACTTTGGACCAATCACCAGGAGACTGGGAAATCTAGTCCTGCTTTAGCCATGAAAGCTGGCTGGGTGACTTTGGGCCAATCACCAGGAGACTGGGAATTCTAGTCCTGCTTTAGCCATGAAAGATGGCTGGGTGACTTTGGGCCAATCACCAGGAGACTGGGAATTCTAGTCCTGCTTTAGCCATGAAAAATGGCTGGGTGACTTTGGGCCAATCACCAGATGACTGGGAATTCTAGTTCCTCCTTAGCCATGAAAGATGGCTGGGTGACCTTGGGCCAATCACTAGGAGTCTGGGAGTTCTAGACCTGCTTTAGGTATGAAATCCATCTGCATGGCCTTGGGCCATCTACTTTCCCTGAGGCCAACTCACCTCCCATAACCCACCTCCTTGTTGTGGAGAAAATAGGAGGATGAAAGTGTGTTGGATATGTTCGCCACCTTGAGTTAGGTTCGCCACCTTGTAAAAATAATAAGGGTGGAATGCAGGTAAATATGTGTCATATTCTTACTCTTTGTCTACCTCATGGCTGAACATCCATGTTGGGTGGCAGAAGATCCCCCCCCAATTCCAGCTGCCAACAACAAAGAATGGGTCTTTGCCACAGTTTTGGGACCATTTACAATTTTTTTCTGGAGCTCTGGGAGTCAAAATGGAGGCACCAGCAGAATTATGCTGAGCTTCAAGTTTGTTCGGACGGTACGTACAACTCGTGGGAAGATCTTTGCACTGTCCACAAGGTAAGCTCCACCCCCAGATGAAACCTCACTGAAGGGATTTGCGAAGACACCCACGGAGACACAGACACACACACACACACACACACAATATGAAACAAGGCCAACCGACTGCAACTCAAGAGCAATCAAGAGGCCCAAACCCAGAAGACGCCATTCCAAACAAGCATCTGTGCGGCGAGCTATTAGAAGACCCTCGACAGATGCAATCTCCCCAGCCCCCTGATGTGGTTGGAAATACAGATGCAACCTCTTTCTTCTCTTGGACAAGGATTAATGAGGACCTGGGACAGCTCATAGACAAGCAAGCAAGGGGCTATGAACCTCTTCCAGCTTTGCAATTTGTCTTGGACCGATGATGGCTGATCGGGTTGTTGTTTTCTTTTTCCCTCTCTCCTCACTGGATTATCTGGTGCCCCAGCCCATTAATCTCTTCAAATAAAACCATCATCATCATCATCATCATAAGGGGAGAAATATCCTTGGATCGCTGCCAGAGAGAAATTAATAGCCCTTCCAAGCACCCCGGAGAAGCAGGGGGCGAATACCGTTCCAGCCACACCTACTTTCAATCCCATCGTAGAAATTTCAGCCCTTGGCAGGATAATCAAGCCGAGAGATTTAATCAAGGCTCCATTTATCTTCATCACCAAAGTTCGGCAGCGAAGGTGGAAAGTGGAAAAATGAAAAGAAACAGGGAAAGTGGGGGGTGGGCTTGGCAGGAGAATGGAAGGATCTGGACTCACAGGGCCCCTCTGTCTCGTTTCGTTTTTCTACTTGGGTCCTTAAATCCATGAAAAAAAGTCCCAACGGTTGTGTGGCCAAACAACGACTAGCAAGCAAGAATGACGGGAATTGTTCAATGGCCGAAAAGGGCTGCTTTGGTTAGGGGGATATGTTTTAAGTGAGCCAAGCTTTTGTCTCCCTGAAGTGGTGCAGTGGCCTAGGGGTAGAGCTCTCGCCACACGATCAGGAGGCTGTGAGTTCGATCCTAAGCAGGAGCAGATATTTCTCTGGGCATAATGAGGCTATATCTGTTGAACAAAACTCTGCATTGGTGACAGGAAGGGCACCCAGCCAGTAAAACACTCTGCTAGCTGCCCCTGTTTGATTCTGAGGGAGAGGTGGAACAGCTGACAGGGAGTGCAAGTGTGGCTCTGGTAGCTGTGGAGGAAACTGGAGAGGGGCGCAGGCTGGCTGGGCATTCAGAGGAAGACCCAGGCCCACTTCTTCATCCTAGGGCATGCAGGGAGGAACGGATAAGGGAGCAACATGGTTTATGGGGGAGGAAAGGGCCCTGATCACCTTCATGAGCTGGGAAGACTGTTTAAAAGGGCAAACTGCACATGGCAAAGTTGCTGGAAGCAAAGCGTGCCTTATCTTCGTGGAGGCTTGTCTGGGTTTTGGCGTCCTCCCAACTGTGGTTGCTGCGTTATCTTTTGGAAGTCTGCAATTTATCCTCCTGGCCTGCTGTGTTAATTACTTCAGTGTGGATTGTGTTGGGTTTTTTATTTCTAATTATCTTTACTTTGGGTAAGGACTGCATTTACTCTCTTCGTAGACTGTTTTTGGAAGAGTTGGACTGCCATTTGTCAGAAATGGTGTAGGGTCTCCCGCTTGGGCAGGGGGTTGGACTAGATGACCTACAAGGTCCCTTCCAACTCTGATTATCTGTATCTGTATCTAAGAGTTTGATATCCAGCCGAGGATAGCTGGACCTTGAGGCCCAAGTTGGAGGCATTAAAGGGAATTCATTCTACTTTTGTGACTGTGGTGTTTTTGTGTCACACCCTGGGTCATCACAGCTCCATTCAGTTGCGCAGATTCCACTTGGCAAGGGATTATGGAGTTGTTAAATGATATGATGATATACAGTATTTTAAGTGAATCATGTTTTTGGACCATTCTGGACCATTCTGGAAGCCTTAGGGGAGCCTCCACCCCATTTTAAGACACGTTACAAAAGACCCTGGTCGAGGAAGATCGTGGAGATGCTACCTTTGATTTAACCGCAAGGATGATCTTGGGCAGGACCAACACCAGGCACTTCAAAGCGATGGTGAGATACTTCAGGACGAAATCTGTGATCCCAACCATCCACATCAGGTCGAAGAAATCGAGCTTGTCCAGGTTGGGCTTCAGGAAGATGAGGCTGGAAAACAAGAGATTGACAAGAGAAGGGGATCTCACTCAAGGGCAGGGCGTGCCCATTTGGGAGAATTGCGTCGTTGTGTCAAAGTCTCCTGGTTCTGTTTTGTCTGCAGGTAGTCCTCAACTTATGGACCTCAGCTGAGCTTAAGAGCTGCCAGCCCCTTACAATTCTTCTTAACATCTCATATAGTCGTTTTAGCCCCAATTCTCTGTTGCTAAGTGAGACGGTCGCTCAGCGAGTTTTGCCCCCATTTTACAAGTGTTCTTGCCGCAGTGGTTAAGTGGAACACTGCAGTTGTTCAGTTAGTAACAGTCGTTAAGGGAATCTGGCTTCCCCATGGACTTGGCTAGTCAGAAGTTCGCCAGAGGGGATCACAGAACACCCCAGAACATTGCAACGGTCATAAATACGAGTCAATTGTCAAGCATCCAAATGTAAATCATCTAAATCAATGAAATGTCCGCAAAAAAACAACCAAGCTCAGAGAGCACTAAGGAGCCTACAGTTGTATTACTCCTCCTCCTCCTCCTCCCCCCTCCCCCTCCTCTTCCTCCTCTTCTTTCTCCCCCCCTCCTCCTCCTCTTCCTCTTCCTCCTCCTCCTCCTCCTCTCCCTCCTCCTCCTCCTCTCCATACACCCCATCCCTTCTAGTACTGATGATGTTCTCTAGTTTGGTAATGAAACGTCTGCAAGAAAACAGCCAAACACAGAGAGCACTAAGGACCCCACAGTTGTCCTCTTTCTCCTCCTCTTTCTCTTCTTCCTCCTCCTCTCCTCCTCCTCCTCCTCTCTACAAACCCTACTCCCTTTTAGCACTGATGATGTTTTCTAGTTTGGTAATGAAACGTCTGCAAGAAAACAGCCAAACACAGAGAGCACTAAGGACCACACAATTGTCTTCCTCCCCCTCCTCCTCCTCCTCCCCCTCTCCCTTCCACCACTGATGATGGTACCTAATTTGGGTAATGAAATATCTGCAAAAAAATCAACCAAGCTCAGAGAGCATCAAGGACAAATTTAGAATGAATGATAGAACATAAGTAGCCCTCGGTTTATGACCCTATTGAGCATAACAGCTTCCAGTCCCTTACAATTCTTATTACTATCTAATGTAGTAGTTAACTTGACGTCCACTTAGATATTGTAAGTATCTGTGCCAATAGTGGGGGGATTATGAAAGTTGTGGCCCAAAGTACTAAGCCAGTAAGAGGCCAACTTTGCCAAGCCAAGAAAGGACCACTGTTGCTTTTCGTCGTTTGTTTTGATTTTGTATAGTATCTAGTCTCTTTTTAAAATCTAGGTCTTCTTTCCTAATTTTTATTATTATACGCCACTCAGAGTCACAGATTGTGAAAGCAAACTGTGAAACTACAAGCCGCTTAAGTTAAGCCAATAAACAAACATGAACGTTTCCGCATTCCTAAATCAAATAATATTTTCAAAGGCTGCAATAAGAAAAAATCCCTGCTTGAATATTGCAATAAAACTTTCCAGCACAGGCAATTTTATAAGGAAAGGGGAATAAAATAAAAGCAAACAAGGGACGAAATCTAAAATGAAGTTAACATAACCATGGAAGGTCCTGGAGCAGGAGCGTTAAAACACAAAACATTTTGAATTCTCAAGAAACACAAAATACATTTGTGTTACTTTCAAGGGCAGTGACTGAAATCTTGTTCTTCTGCAGACAAAAACTTCTACATCTTCTTTTATCTACATTTCAAATTTGGTTACAGCACAACTTAATGTGAGATGTGATTAAAAGAGAGAGAGAGAGAGAGAGAGAGAAAAGAGAGAGAACCAAAATCAAAGTACTCACAATATGGCACAGCACTACAGGTAAAATTAAATCCTACAAAACAAAACCAAACAAGCCAAAATGAGTGGGCTAGTTAAAAAAAAAAAGACAGTAAAAGAAGGAAAACTCAAAACACGATCAAATCAACGAGACAATGAAAAGTTGAACAGAACGGAGGGAAAGGAGCGAAGGGATATGAAACTGAGTTTATTTCTTTGTAGCAATTCAGATTTTAGTGGAAGCTTTGTTCATTTCACTGCTTTTCGGTGGGAGCTTTTATAATCCGATGGATTAAAAACCAGCAGCCATAAACATACTTTGGGATTAAGTGTTCCCATGGTGGGTAGGATAGGATAATGGATAGAATAGGATAGTTAATGGAACAGGATATGATAATGAATAGGACAGGATATGATAGGATGGGATGATTAACAGGATAGGATAGGATAATGTATAGTAGGGTATGGCATGGCATGGGATGGGATAATTAATAGGATAGGATAGGATGGGATAATAGATGGGATAGGATAGGTCAGGACAGGAGAGGAGAGAACAAATAAATTAATTTCTTGACATTACATGAAGAGAACAGCCCCCTTTTCTCAGAAGAAGAGGTGTTGACTCACCTGTTATACAGCTGTTGGGAGTTGAAGGTGTAGAGCAAGTACAGGGTGTTCCCTGCAAGGAAGACCAAGATCCAGAAAACCATGAAGATGGATCTCTTTTCCTAGAAAGTAGAAAGACCACAACATGTGACATGCGGCTGAGGCTACGCTACCAGTTATCTAATCATTTCCTAGGCAGCCTCTCTTCCCTCCTTTTCTGCTCCAACTCCCAAGGTCTTTCCCACATACCATTATAGCCGCCTCCTTTACAGCCCGAGAAACTAGGAAGGGTCTCTTCTGAGTGTTTTTCTCTGCCCATTATGCAGCTGTGGGCTATGCGATCTCTTATCTCACTGACCGCCAGGCAGCATCTCTTTACTCTGTCTCCCAAGATCTTTCTCACCTTCTATTACAGGTAGAATAATTTTTGTGCCCTGGAAGATGCCCATTACAGCCTCTTATTTCTCAAATCGTGGCCTGCACTCACCTTTAAAGAGATTTGGTCTCGAAGGGCTGAATTTGCATATGCGAATGTGCTAGCCATGCCCACGCAGAGGGCAATGCCTGTAAGGGAAAGAGAGAGAGAGAGAGAGAGAGGGGGGGAGGGAGGGGGGGAGGGAGGGGGAGAGAGAGAGAGAGAGAGGGAGAGAGAGAGAACTCAGTGTGACATCTGATAATTAATAGTTGTTTTATTTTCTGCAAATGATTGTCCAATTTCTTCTTGAAAAACTCCAGTGATGGAGCAGCCACAACTTGTGGAGGCAAGCCGTACCACTAATTGTTCTGACTGTCAGGAAATTTCTCCTTAGTTCTAGGTTGCTTCTCCCCTTGATGAGTTTCCATCCGTTGCTTCTTGTCTTTCCTTCAGGTGCTTTGGAGAATAGCTTGACTCCCTCTTCTTTGGGGCAGCCCCTGAGATATTGGAAGACTGCTAGAACTGGTGCCAGGAGATGCTGGTCACCCAGTTGGTTGACCAAGTGCTTTTATTCAGCAAGACAGAGTTGGTCAGTCAGTAAATTTAAATAAATACTAATGCATAATAAATGATGTTTGTGTTGTGGCCTGTTGGCTGCCAGCCCCTCCAGCAGCCAAATCAGATGAGGAGGAGGAGCTGAATCAGGGTCGGAGTCAGGGTAACCTGAGAGCTCCGAGGGGGAAGAGGGAATGGAGCTGGCAGAGAGAGAGAGGGGGGGGGAGCCAACAGCCCCCAGGTCTGGAGGTAGCTGATGAGGAAAAGGAGGAACAGCTGGGCCCAGTGCCTGACACGCAGATGCACAAAAGGCAGAGGAGAGGAGAGCAGTGGAAATCTATGGGCCGGTCCTTGGGACAGAAGAGCCACCGCTGCTAGCGAAGCTAGCTCTGGGGGAAAAAAGGCAGGGGGTGGCGATGAATAGAAGTGGCAGACAACTATTCATCTTCCAGCCAAACTTGTTAGCCTGCGGTGTGTGTTTGTGTGTGTGTGTGTGAGAGAGAGAGAGAGAGGGAGGGAGGGAGAAGGAGAGGGAGGGAAAGAGGGGGAGAGCCTGGGCCGTCTGTCAGCCCTCAGATGGAGAGTCAACAGCCCCCAGGTCTGGAGGTGGCTGATGAGGAAGAGGAGGAACAGCTGGGTCCAGTGCCTGACGCGAGGATGCCCAGAAGGCAGAGGAGAGGAGAGCAGAGGAAATCTATGGGCCGGTCCTTGGGATGGAAGAGCCACTGTTGCTAGCTCTGGGAATAAAAGCCAGGGGGCGGAGATGAATAGATGTGGCAGACAACTATTCATCTCCCTGCTGGACAGACTTGTTAGCCTGCGGCGAGAGAGAAACTTTTGTGCCGGGGCTGCTCCTAATAAAGGAATCGTTGATTTAACTTCCGAGGGTCTGTCGTGTTTGGGGAGCTGCGTCAGAAAAGTTTTGATTTAAAAGAAAAAGAAGATGCACACACGCATGCAAACAACGCCTGGGAAAGAACCCTCCCTCCCTCTCTTCTCCCACTAAGCCCCTTACCCAGTTTGTGCTGGAAACAAACTTTGGCCAGCAGGATCATGATGAAGGGCAGGCCGTCCTGCAACCAGGAGATGACCGCCTTCATCTCGGGAAGGGCAGGGGCTGGGGTGCCCGGCGGCTCATCGGGGGTCTCTTCCGCATGCCCGTGGCGGTCAGCCCCGCTCATGTGGAGAAGGGAGGGGCCTCTCGGGTGGCTGTGATGGTAATGATGATGCGGTGGCCGGTAGTGATACAGCCCCGCCTCCGCCCGGCTTGGCCCCTCCTCCTGGGCAGCAGGCATCTGGATGAAGACCTCGCCTCCTCCGGCGGAGGACCCCAGGAGCAAGCTGGATTGGAAAGGGGTGGCCGAGATGCTGCCTGATGGGATTCCCCCCAGCCCCGAGAAGAGCTGCTGAGGGGAGGGGGCTTCCGTCTTCAGGCTCTCGAAAACGCCCCCTTCGTCCACGTTGGTGTCCGAGCTGATGGCTTGGCTTCGGTTTCTGGAAGGCAGGAGGGGGTGGGGGGTGGGTGATGGAGAAAGAGCACAGGTCGTCCTCAACTTACGACCATAATCAAGCCCAACATGTACGTCACTAAGTGAGACATTTACAAAGAGAGTCTTGCCCCTCTTTTCTTGCCACATTTTTTTTAAAAAGTGAACCAATTAACAACACGATTGTTAAGTGAATCCATCTTCCCCAGATTTGGGCAGGGCCCAATAAATTTATGTGGCTAAGTGAGACAATTGTTTAAGCGAGTTTCGGGCCCCGTTTTGCCACCTTTCTTGCCTCCGTTGTTAAGTGAATTGCTGCCGTTCATAAGTCAGCAACCCCGTTGTTAAGTGAATCTGGCTTTCCCCGTTGACTTTGCTTGTAGAAGCCCGCCCATGACTGGGGATGCTGCAATGGTTGTTAAGTGTGAAAAATGGTCGTAAGTCACTTTTTCCTGTGCCGTTGTAACTTTGAACGGTCACTAAAGTGAACTATTATAAGCTGAAGACTACCTGTATGGCTCTTATCATTTTTCCTCCTTTTTAAATTTGATTGCCTCGGTGGCGCAGTGGTTAGAATGCAGTACTGCAGGCTATTTCTGGTGACTGCCTGCAATTTGGCTGTTCAAATCCCACAAGGCTCAAGGTTGACTCAGCCTTCCGTCCTTCCGAGGTGGGTAAAATGAGGACCCAGATTGTTGGGGTTTGCAAGAGGCTGACTCTGTAAACTGCTTAGAGAGGGCTGTAAAAGCACTGTCAAGCAGTATATAAGTCTAAGGGCTATTGCTATCTATCGTCTGTCTGTGTCTGTCTCTGTGTCTCTCTATGTCTCTGTGCCTGTCTGCCTATCCATCTCTATCTGTCTGCCTGTCTCTCAGGGTTTTTTTTGCCTCCCTGCCTGCCTGCTTGCTTCCTTGTTTGCTTGCCTGCCTGCCTGCCTATTACTCACCCACCCACCCACCCACCCATCCATCGTCTGTCTATCTATCTATCTATCTATCTATCTATCTATCTATCTATCTATCTATCTATGCAGGATTGCAGGCAGACTCTGCCCACCGCCTATCTATCTATCATCTATCTACCTACCTACCTACCTACCTATCTATCAATGCAGGATTGCAAGCAAACTCTGCCCGTAATTAGGAGTTCGATCCTGACCATCTCAAGGTTGACTCCATCCTTCCGAGGTGGGTAAAATGAGGACCCAGATTGTTGGGGTTTGCAAGAGGCTGACTCTGTAAACCGCTTAGAGAGGGCTGTGAAAGCACTGTGAAGCGGTATATAAGTCTAAGTGCTATTGCTATTGCAATTTGGATGGTATGTTGCTTTAATTATGTTCTGGGGTTTTCCACGAAAGCTTTGCAATCGCCAAGAGTTACAACATTGCGACAGGATAAAAAGAAAATAAATAGTCCACTGTTGATTTTCATCACATCTTAGAATGACCTAGAAACACACAAACCGAAAGCATGATTTTTACAAAGCACAGTGCCTGGCAGGGAATTCTGGGATTTGAAGTCTACCCATCTTAAAGTTGCCAAATTTGGTTAAAAACAACAACAACAACACACTGTGCTATATACTTTATTCAGTTCCTGGATGTAGATGGGAAAAGCTTCAAACCCAAATTAAATGAGGAAACAGTCTTGCAAAAACAGATAGGGAAACACAGTATCTCTTCACTTAAAAAACAGAATGTATCGTTGGTGAATTTATATGCTGTTTCCTAGACTTTAAACCTAGTCTAGTCAAAAGAAGAACCAAGGGGGACATGATAGCGGTCTTCCAATATCTTGTCCCAGCTTCTGCCAACGTAGCAGTTTGAAAGCATGTAAAAAATGCAAGTAGAAAAATAGGGGCCACTTTGGTGGGAAGGGAACAGCGTTCCGTGCGCCTTTTAAGGCGTTTAGTCATGCCGGCCACATGACCACGGAGACGTCTTCGGACAGCGCTGGCTCTTCGGCTTTGTCACGGAGGTGAGCACCACCCTCTAGAGCTGGAAATGACCAGCACGTAGGTGCAAGGGGAACCTTTACTTTAAGTCGAGAACTACCTCTACAGGCCCATCGTTGAATGCAAAAGAAACGTTCAGTGGACAGAAAAGGAATGCTCCCACAGGGAAAGCGTTGAGAAAAGGACTTTAGCAACGTTGCAAAATCTCTCCGGATTGTCAACCCTTTGGAGATTTCTAAGTTTAGATCTGCTGCTTGCATTAAGGGAATTCACCCCACTCTCGCCTTCTCCCCAAAGCTTTCTGCAGTTCCAAGCCCTCCTCTCTAGATATCTCAACTATGCAAAACCCTCCCTGGGCACCACTTTTCATCTTGAGGTTTCTAAACCTGAGGATTTTTATAGCTGGTCTCCAAGGCCAGGCTGGCATCTATACACAACAAGGGTTTTTAGCAACAAGGGGAGAGAAAAATCCACTCGAAATGGCCCGATGTCATTTTTAGTTTTAATCCTATTTCTTTCTCTAGATGTTATGTGATTTTCGTTGTATGTATACTGTGTATATACGTACAACGACAATAAAGAATTCAATTCAAAAGCTTTAAAAAAAAAAAACGGGTGCTATGTTTCGATGAACTTTTTAAGGCTTATTTTACCTGCTCGGTGTTGAACGTTAGAAGTTGTGAGAGCTTCATCCCTGGAAGATTTCCAGAGGACTGCCATAGTGCAGGGTCTCCTGCTTGGGCGGGGGGCGGGGTTGGATTAGATGACCTACAAGGTCCCTTCCAACATATTCTGTGTTTGACTTGATAGAGGTGCTTTTCAACAGCCATCTTTGTCAAGTGGGTTGGCATTCAGAGGAGTGCCTTGCAGATTACTCTAAAAGTGGTCCAGGGTTGGACTAGAAGACCTCCAAGGTCCCTTCCAATTCTGTTATTCAAACAATCTGTGCTTCTTATTTTAAATTGATGTATTATTGTAACATTAAGAGCAACAGCAAGAAGCATTTAGACTTATATACCGCTTCATTGTGCTTTCCAGCCCTCTCTAAGCGGTTTGCAGAGTCAGCTTCTTGCCCCCAAACCATCTGGGTCTTCATTTTACCGACCTCGGAAAGATGGAAGGCTGAGTCAACCTTGAGCCTGGTGAGATTTGAACTGCCAAATTGCAGGCAGCCGGCAGGCAGCAGAAGTAGCCTGCAGTACTGCACTCTAACCACTGCGCCACCGTGGCACATTAACGTGTGATATAGTTTAATCCAGGCATCTCCAAACTTGGCAATTGGAAGACTTGTGGACTCCGACTCCCAGAATGCCCCAGCCAGCAGGTTCTGGTATTGGATGAACTGGTGT